GTAGTAGGTGGAGGGTTGTTTTCCTTCTCTTTTGGTCTGGCGGATCAGGAGAGGAAAGCGAAGCACGTATAGGTGTTGAGATTGTGGCTTGCTATGTTTGTCTCGCCAATGCCTTCCTCTTCTGACCTTAGTTGAGGTCCCCCACCACGGAGATTTTGGACCCGGCCCTCGCCTACTTCACAAGGCAGGTGATGAACACCGCACCCTCTCCCAAGAAAGCAAGACACTCATCAAGTCAGGGCAGTGGTGTGGGACTGCTGCACCTCTGATGAGCTCAGTGGCAGCGGAGAAAAAGAGAGAGAAAACATCTTTATTGACCCTCAGTTCAGGGTGTCGAAGTGGTGTCCAGGGCCCGTTTGCTCGAACAGCTAACCGCGGCTAAAGTTAGCCGCAGTACCTAGGAGAGGGATTTTTTAGTCACGTGACTGGCTCGGTAGGGATACGGGAGCTACGCATTGCCCCGTCGCGTCGTTCGACAAAATGGCTGCGGCGTACGCAGTTTCCGCGGTCGCGATCGCATTGGTGTTTGTCTTCAGAGCGATGATTTAGGTTCCGTGTTCTAAGTTAAGAGTGTACAAGTATCCTACGTGCGCCTTAAAGAAACTGACATTTCGAGGGGACTGCGACTGAAGTCGACGGCAGCAGCCCGTCGACAAACAGTGGCTCAGAGTCACCGATTTGTAGAAGTACAGTGGCCCGGAGTCGCCGACTGTCGAAGCTTCGCATCGGCTTCATTGAAGCACGGCAAGAATCATGCATCGCAGCGCCGAAATGTGGGATGCGTTCCAAGGAACACGATAGCCGAGTACGACAAGCGTTTTACGGTGAGCACCAAAACATTTCGCGATAGGGTTGTGATGAGGCCAGCCTCATACTCACGTTATGTTGAGCGCTGTGAAACTAACTTCAAGCAGGAGCAGGATCAGAATACGTTTATTGAAAGGAAGCATTACGGAGAGTTGCCTTTTGAGTAGCGATTGCGGTTTATTGAAAGTAGTCACGCCGGGAAAATTTCTGTTCAGGGTGTCCATTTTGTACAAAATCCTCGTATTCTGCTTACAGTGCGACTGCAGCTGCAGCATCAACCGTTCTGCAGATAAACGGCGGACAGAGGCTCAACGGTCCAATGGATTTTAGCAGTGATGAGTAGCAGAGCTTTCTCTGGGTTTAGTGAAATGCTACGTTGTCCATAAAAGACCAGTGACCTGCCGATCGTTCAATTCACTCGCCCTCCAAGAAAGCCGGTACATGCAGTTTTTCCGAATCAACTCCGTTGTGCCGTCTGCGAAAGTTGTAGAACCGAGAAATAAACAATACTGAAGTTGTTGGAAATGCACTTGTTTGTTATTTCGCGTTGCTTCTGAAAAAATATTTTACGGTTAGCAGGAATAATGTTGCAATTGTGTAGATAAACAAACCAAGGTAGCAGACGATCATGCTCCTTCTGCAAATGAAAATGAACCGAGCGACTACCTCAAAGGGGGCCGCGCCGCTGCGTCAAAAGAATTGGACCCTAGATGAAAAATTGGAATTAGTCCGGGAAGTTGAGGCTCGAAAATACCAAATCCTGGGAAAATTCGGCCCTACCGTGACTACTAAAACCAAAAGACGCGCCTGGGACCAAGTCGCCAATTCCATGACCCGCCGCCACCAAGTTCCGCGTTCAGTGAAACAGCTTCAAGAAGCATGGAGAAAATTACTTAAAAAGTGCCGAACTTTGTACAGATTGTACAAAGAACATGACCAACGGACAGGTAAGTTCCAATATTTGCGCTACAAAAACAGAAAAAAGGGCGATATTTGTAAAATCTTTATTGGAAACTTTGGGTGCACTGTACAAATTTATTAGAGAGTGATATATTAGCCCCTCAAATTTTTGGGGCAAATATCTCAACCGAAGACCCCATTCAATGCGCGACAACTAACATCTCGCTCAATATCATGAGAGGGCAAGCCCAAAGATTAATTAGCTCTTACTCGCACAAGTTTCAACACAGTGGCACTAACACAGAAATAGCCCCAAAGCACCTTGGATCCTGTTCCATGCAGTGGGCCTGCGTAATTTCTCAAAATTAATGTCCAAATTTTGCTTGCCAAAAACATTGTCTTTAGCACTGTAAACAATGTAGACACTATTGTTCAACTAAACACAGAAGAAAAATGTATGTAGGCAAGTAGCGTGGGAACAAGGGCAGGGGGGCTTCAGACCCCCTTCCCCCCCCCCCCCCTTGAAATTTCAGACAGCTGCGGAAAACAATGCTGCAAAAGGGGGCGGGGTTAAGCTCAGAGGCTCCGTCGCCCCTCCACGTTTCAAACACTTCCGACGCAACCGATTCAGGCACAGAGTGGGCCAGGCTAGCCGGTAGCTGGCAACAGTGAGTTTGCTGTCAAACAAAAAAAAAAAGAAATAAATTGTCCAACATCACATATTACCCGAGACCGGATAATAGGAACCTGAGGGTGAAAAAAAAAACGAAGGTAAGAAAACAATCTTATCATTATTGGCAATTACATGTTTACGCGTTTTCTGTTCATTCGCACATTGATACTATGTTGAATAATGAACACCCTGTCTCCCCTCCCCCACCTTTAATTGTGCTTACATCCTAGAAAACAAAATAAGTGTACTTCAATTCATAGGTGCTGGTCCCAACCCCCATCAGCTGACACCACTTGTCGAGACTGTTTTAAATGTGATCGGGGACGATTCCCCGACGATCTGTGGGATTGACGTCATCATCGGTGACACCGAAAAGTAGGTAACACTTTATAGGCCATGCTGTGTATGCTATGCTCCTGTTGATACTTTATACATTACAATACTAAAGTTGTAGGTATGAGCACGTGGCTTCGTCAATCACCTTACTTGTGCTAATTGAATGGCCCACCCTTACGCCTACAAGTTTGATATCGTTGCACACTGTATGTAGACTGTGACAATGGAGGCGATAGTACAGTGGAAGCTCTGCACCCAGTTACAGCTTACTAGCCCTGACAGCACAAGGATGCACAAGCAGCAGAAGAGAATGAGCACGCGCTGAAGGTGCATTCTTTTTCTGTTCTGCTCGTCACATTATGAGTACTTCCACAAGATGATAGTTATGAAACTGATGATAGGGATGTTCTGCTGTCACTGATGATAGGTATGAAACTGAGCAGAGACACAAGGCATATCAAAAGTCACCAATTGTTGGCATGCTCCTAGAAAACATTGATGAGCATAGGGAACAGTTTGGATTGTCATAAAAGAATATATTGGTTTTCCATCTCAAAGTAGACATGTCAGTTGCATAACACTACTGCTGCGTGCCCTTACATAGAGACCAACTTCATGAAGCAAAACGACAATATTAGGAGCACGAGTCAAAACCTGTCCAGTAGAGAACAGAACACAGCACAAGGACACCACCTTCACATATTTAGCCATTTCTGCACTGCTGAAAAAGTGCCAATGAAACCATTTATTAGGGTAAATGCAGTAAAACTCACAGTTTGAAACTATTTGTACCACAAAATTACAAAGAAATATTTACATCATAATCAACAAAGCTATGGTAGTCTTTCTCTCAAGTTGAGATCACCTATTTTCTTCAAAGTCAGGTCACTCAATACCCAAATTTTTCCACTGTCAGTGGAAATGTTTTTGCATGATCTTCGTACATGCCTGCTAACGTAGCAAAAATCCATTCTTTTTTGGTAACGCTTATGAGATTAAGTTGAGAATGCACCAATGACTTATTCGATGCTGATCTGTGCCAACAAAATCTGAAAAAGTATCAATGTCCCAGTTAGCCGGACAGTGCTTGGGTACACAATAATCACATATGACGGCTGGTGTGAGTGTGCCACATCTACTTGTTTTAAATCTTGTACAAATGTCTATGTGGCGACTCTACCAACCGCCAATGAAACAAAGTTGCGGGGTTAGGCACTCCAGTCTGTTGTACCACCAACATATGTGGTAAAATTATGACAAGTGTTACTGTCACATCTGGATTAAGGTTGCCGCACGTTGCACTCAGTTCTCCCACACATATATGTACCCTGATCCAGGGTGACGTCAAAAATGTCATGCACTGCAGCCCTCATGCATCACTTGGAGAGATAGAGGACGGAGAGAATCATGTCACGGAGGACGTACGTGCACGAGTATGGTGTCTAGTCACAATCCTTTGCTTCAATGCTCTGAGCAGCTCTCTGGAGCTGTAGCCCTTGCAGTTTGCTAAGTTATGCTGAAATTTACAAGTTCACTCCTGCCCAACAATAGCCCTCTGTGAGCTGCCATTTTTCTCACTGCGCATGCTCGGAACACGTCCCGAGCATTAACTTTATGCAGGACAATATTGTACCTCGGGCTGCCATCCACAGCCAGTCAGTGACCTGGGTTTTTAAGTTTGCTGATAATCGTTGTAAAGGCTTATGCGTTAAAGGGATACCTCAACGAAATTAAAAATATACCCGTCGTGTTCAAAAATAGGTTGAATATGATCCACTGTATCCCTAAATGACAATCGCACGTTTGTATTTTGAACCTGGTGGCTATAGTTTTCGTTACAAACGGCCCACCCTGACAAGCGCTCGGAGAACAGCCAACGGAGAGCATGTGACACCCAACGCAATCGTGACGTAGTTCGTCTCGGGACGAGCAAAGCTGCGACGAGGCTGACGTCGAGAGGATGGCCTAGTCGTTCCAGCCACCAAAGCGGCTGCTTTTGTACGAATTTTGAGTGAAGGGTTAATCTTTTATAATCTTGTAGGGGGACAATAGCAACTTCTGGGACATACAAAAAGGATTCTTTGGAAGAGGAGAGTTCCTCCTTCCCCTCTTCTATTGTGGTAGCCGGAGGCGAGACAGTTACCGTCACTAGCTGTCAAGGTTCTTAGACTGGCATTACAAACGAGGCGTTAGCGACATCCACCTGGTGCTCTTTGCCAATCGCTTAATTCGTTTTAAAATTCCTTTTCGTGACTTTTTTAACAAGATATTGTTGTGTTCGATGTGATACTGCTCCTTCGAACACATATAGACCAAAAAATGAAACCCGAAATTTTGTTGTAGTATCCCTTTAACCTCAAACAATTTCCTGGTCATGCGTGTCACTACAGCAGCTGCACGGGAAGGGTGACGACGCCGCCACCCTCGTCATCTGGCAGCAGTACAGTTGAAGACGACGCAGCACAGAGAACACTGGCCTCTCCTGTTGTGCAGCACAACCAGCGCTGGACCCGTGAGGCTGCACAGCAGTACCAGAGAAGGGCCGAGCGACAGCAGGATCTGGAGCATGAGAATATACTCCTTGAGAGAAAGTACACAAATGGGGCCATACAGGCTGCAAACGCAACCCTCGCTGCAGCAGATGCTGCACGGAGTTTCTATGCTATAGGGGAGGAAGTGCTCAGGGAGCAAAGAGAACTCATTAGACTTGAAACCACCCGAGCACAGCTGCAAATTGAACTGATAAAAAGACAATTAGGACAAGATTAACTCATGTAATGAGCTACTTGCATTGTTTGTCGCTGTGTTGTATACATATTTTGCGTTTTTTCTGACCCACATACTTGGTTGCACGATTATAACGCTCACATTTTTTTTGCCAAAATGGGTGCCTAAAATTAGATGCACTTACAATTGAAACCAAAACTCAAAAGAAAAACGCAAGGCAGCTAGCCCAATCGCCTTTGTGACCGTTTGTTTACATTAGATATTTTGGTATCCGTATCGCGCGTTCTTTCGCCTTTATGTCATCACACTGACGGGAAACGATAACCACGGAGCGACACTGCGTAGCCTCGCAATCCCAGCGACCCAATGAGCTCGCGAAGTGTTGTATGAAAAAAAAAAAGTGAAGGCCGTTTACAACTCTGTAACGCCGAATTAGAGCGCAACTCTTGAGGAGGAGTAGGGAAGGGTACTGAGGGGGAGGGGGGTCACGTGACCTCGGCGGGGGGGGGGGGGGGGTCACGTGACCCCCAGGTCACATGACCCCGCAGAGAAATTTTTCCGCTAGGTTTAGCGGACAAATTTTTCCGCTAGATTTAGCGGGGAATTTTTTCCGCTAGATTTAGCGGGGAAATTTTTCCGCTAGATTTAGCGGGGAAATTTTTTCACTAGATTTAGCGGAGAAATTTTTCCGCTAGATTTAGCAGAGAAATTTACCCATCATGCACCGGCGGTTACGACGACGGCGACGGCGACGCCGCTCAAGCCGGAAACGAGCGCCTAAGAGCTGCACTTATGGGTGTTCAAAGTGCATTACTTTACCTGCGCGGTAGAATCGGCAGCAATTAAATTTTTCGATATCTGGGAGCTAAAATTGCCTGCATGTAAGTATCGGGGCCACGTTAGAATCGTGCAAACATGGTATGTTTGACACTTCATTTATTTTATGCATGCTATCTACAAGGGAAGCTTGCACACAATCTTTTCCATGTCGTTGACTATCCCTACACTAGACCAGCGTGGTTGTTCTGATCGCAATATTTTACGCTGTGGTTAAGTAAGCAACAGAATATCATACTGGCAGTATGGCACCCAGGCTTTCGACGCCCCAAAGGTGGCACATAATTTACATGGATACCTAAAATAAAAATATGGGTTAAGCTCAAAGGCAGATGTATAATTCCTTCTTTCCTATATCCCTTCACATGTTTCCCTTTCATAACGCGGCTCCCCGTCACAGCTCAAGAGAGGAGGTCGCCAAGACGATTAGCCTCCCGGCAGAAGACCAAGGTCGAGTTTCTGTGTTTTAAGAAAATGTTCGAGTCATCGATGAGTGGACCACAGACACTTTCTGACTTGCATCTGCAAATATTCCTTCTGCTTTTAAGATAAAGGCTTTTTCTGCCTGGATATGCTCCTGCGACCTATGGACTGTGTGCTGCTTATGTACGAAAAAGTTCATACTAAGAATATCCCGAAACTCAGGAACAGAAAAAGGGATCAAACACAACACTACATCATTTTGTTGCGTGTGTCACCTTTTGGGGCCCCGGGTCTTCAACTCTTATTACTTTGAATCGTCACCACTTACCTTGTTCTTTAAGTATTTATTTATTTATTTATTTATTTATTTATTTTATTTAAAGAGTACCTTCATCGCCTCGAGGGCATTATTGTAGGAGGGGTGGGAAATAACACACATACATAAAAACACAAAGTGATCACTTTTCCGCACGGAATAGATATACAACCGAGAAAAAAATACTCTGTTATCCAACACAACAGTTTTTTGGAGCTGAAATCTACTTGCTGCTTGTACGTAGGCTCGCGATAATTCGAACTCGGATATTTCGTACTTCCAGTTATTTCAAACAGGTTTAAAAATTTTGGTTGTCCCGCTAAGCTTTTTTATGTATTTATAAGCCACTTAATTCGAATGGCGTTTTCGCTTAATTCATAGTTTTTTGCTCTCGCGGCCCTGTTGAGTGCGCTTCTTTCCGAGCACCGCTGCACCGCAGAGAAGCAATACCTGCGGAGCTTGCTTTTGCGAGTGTTGCTTCTCCGCAGTGCACCAGTGCTCGGAAAGAAGCGCAGTCAACGGGGCCGCGAGAACAAAAAACTATGAATTAGCGAAAACGGCACACATGAACGGAAAACGGCGTTCAAATTATGTGCTTCAAGACTAGCAATGATGACCAAGACGACAACGAGGACGAGGCACAGCTCACTGGCATCATGATTTCTGGCCTTGAAACACGTAATGTGAACGCCGTGCAGGCGAACTATATTAGTCTTGACGACGATGTGTGTGTTTGTCATGATGACTCATTAGAGGACATAGTACAGAAAGTAATGCCAGCACAGTGCAGCAGTGACAGTGAAGATGACGATGAAGAAATGGATGACCCACTACGAACTGTCACAGCCGCAGAGGCCTTTGAGCACATCGCTCAGCTCCGGAAGTTTCTGTCTGCAAAGGAAAAGTCGCGTAAAGAGCTGCTTGCGTTGGCTGGCATTGGAAATTTTGTTTTGAGATCTCATGTGCTGACTAAACAGTCCACAATTGACGACTTTTTTGCCGGATGAATAAACTTAGTCACAGTTCTTTCACAAATGTGTTATGCCTGTACTTGCTTATAGTTATGCATTAACTATAAGCAAGCTATTGTGCTATGTAGAGGAAACTGGCCAAAATCTGCTTTGTATATATCGCTATCCATGTAACAAATCATAATGTTCTCTAGTATCATATATATCCAACTAAAATATGTGACTTTCTGGAGTTTGAATTAATGAGAGTGTAGTATGTACAATAAAGCTCCTCTCTGGACAATGCCCTACTAAAAATAAATGTTTTGCAAATGATGTTATCATGCCAGCCAGGATGAAGAAAATATGAACTAACCCTAGGAGGTTTGTGAAAAATAAGAGAAAAGCTTTGCGGGTTGGAAAAACCTGTGAAAGGTGTTATGACTCAACACTCAGAAGCGTACACTATGTAAATCCTATGAGCTAGTAACCATGAGTATGCAGTGAAAAATGAATATTCTATGGGGTAGTATATATAATTTGTACTGATAGCTTTGAAATTGGTATCAAATGAACATTGTTTCACTATACTCTCCTATTCATGCTCCTGTACCCATTAAATAGTATCGGTTTGTAGATATTGAATGGGAAAATAACTGTCTTCTTCAGTTGCCTCATTATAAACTGTGCACACATAGTCTGTTATAGGGCTGACTTCAGCACTTCCCATAAAGCATCCGTCGGTGTGGGAAATGTATTACAAAAAATAATGACAGTATAAAAAGAGAGCTCCAGAGAGTGCGAAGAAGTGCACAAATTTGAAGAAGCATCCCTCGTGTCATTAGTTAAAAGTTTGAAAAGTGCATTGTTATGAACTCCGGAAATCAAATTCAAAATCTATTAGTTTAAGAGAGCCCGTGTGTGCCTATGCTTGTAGCTCTGCGAGAGTGCAGGAGTTGATGGGGAGGAGACCAAAGCAGTAACAAGCAGTTGAGCTGCAGCGTGCGATTGCAGGAGTGTTGGACATTGCACTGCACTCCCGTTTGACCAATAGCTTCGGCAGGGATTTTTTTCGAGCACACTCTTTCCAACGAGCTAATTATAAGTGCCTCAAATGACACATTTCGAGCTTTGTAACAATAATGCGGGAAGTAAGAAAATTTTTTTTCATTACTTATTTCGTCGCTCATGCTGCAATTTACACATACTGCTATGGAAGCAACAGGTATAAGGGGATGTCCATCAATCATTCTTTACATTTCTATCATCCAAATTTCGAAACTCTATGTGGGATATCTGCAAGCACTACCCGAATTGATCTGTGCAAGAGTGATATATGCATTGCTGGAATGTCATTGTCATGTTGATAACACACTTTCAGCATTGTCACATGTGTCACACTCCTTTATGGGTTATTTTGGGTAGAACTTATGATAATCTTACATCCAGTTAGATCATACAAAAAAAGCTTAAAATAAAATTAATCAATATCTCAAAGCTGTTGGCTTCTTGCTAACTGTGCAGCACGGTTGAGCCCCTAACTGTTGCAGTTTCCAAAAATACAATTGATGTTTAAGTAGCAAAACAATAAATATTATTTCAAGCAATTATTTGATCTAGTTAGACAACTGTCTGACATAATTTTCTTATAATTATCTGCAAAGCCTGATAAACAAAAGGTGAAAGCAATAGCCACGATCATAACAAAGCATCTTGCATTAGAAATGGACAGCCAGAAGATACCTATCCAGACACTTACACTTAGCCGAAGAAATGGTTGACAATAAAGTCTCGGGCCTCGTTGCTCTCAGCACGGTTGGCTGCTACGGGCTCAACGGGAACCTCAGCGGGGATGGCGGCCACGGGTGTCCTGCAGGGGTACCTCTTGGCCAGGCTGTGGAGGGCACAGCACGCGACAATGATGTCGCAGCACCGTTCTGGAGCCATTCGGAGCTCAGCGTGAAGGCAATGGAACCTCCGCTTGAGTTGGCCGATTGTCCTGTACAGAGCGCATGGATCAAAACCACATGTTATTCCTTCCCAGAAACCCAATAGCAAAATCGGACAACAGCGTGGAACGCAAATACTCAAGAGGATGACACGCAACAAGGACAAATTTACAGCTGAATTCGAATCGCAAATTGGCTGCCGTGCCCGATATCACACCTCCTAATTTTTCCAGCCCAAGCTCCAGCCCATTGCTCCAGGATATCGAAAGCTGGGCATTATGCATACCATTTTATTTTCCTTCCGAATTATTTTTACACTGCGTTCACATCCGGGGTCACCTGAGGTTAGCCTGTGCAATGTATTTTATAGAAAGCAACAAGCAAAGTGCAGCTTTATTCAAGCGCTATCCTCAAAGGGTTTCGTGGATATGCTTCCAACCAAACACCTGCATATGCACAGGCCAATATGTTAGAATTTTTTGCTACCTGATTGCTGCCAACACTGTAAGAATTAACTTGTAACCAAGCTTTATACTGCAACAAATACAGTACCATCAAAATTTCATTCTACATGTTACTTGTGAGACAGAGTGAAAAGAGAAAGAGAGCCAGACTCTTGTCTTGTTGAGCCTTTTCCCTTCCACTCTCCAGGAATAGATGTTCGTGGTAGCGCAACCCATCTACTTTTGTCATTGATCAATAAGAATCCGTCTTGTAAGTCTGGGAGATGTAAAACGTAAAGCACTTGATATAACGCCTTATCCAAGTACTCCTACCCTTTGATTGTGCCGCTAGTGTTCCTATTAGTTAGTGGTCCACGCACCGCCATTTCTGACTCAAGTGGAAGCTCCTGGACGCATGCAGCCAAAGTTTTGGTAGAGGGTCTTATGGCGCTTTCACAACGGAATCCCAAGCAAGATTTGCCTGAACATTTGAGATTGCAGCGACTCATCATCAGTCGTGAATGACGTGTAAGATGGTGTCTAGAGACTATTTGTGGAAACTTGTTATTGCATGCTCAACTTCAACATTGTCCAAAATGATGCCTTGGCACTACTCTTAAATCCATCGATGAGAGCAGAATAGGTCATGCTAGGCATGTACTCTTGGCCAATCGGTCAAGACGGTCAGCAACACACAATTGTTTGCGACTTACACCGATGTGCCGCTATTTTTGGATCACACGCATCTTAGCACGCACGAGCTTAGCTGTACTTGTGCACTCAATATGAGTACATACATATCTAGCACGTTTAGTTAGTTTTCATTAAACAGCCCGAAACTGACATTTCAAAAAGTAGACATATGAAAGTGCCAAGGCACAGTGTTACTTCCACTGCTGTGTCTAGGAAAAAAATTCCATTGTCATTAATGCTTCTTTTTGTCCAATTAACAAAATATCAACTTCTGTCCGGGTCTTGCGTAGCACTGGCACCTGAGGTGAGTTTAGTGCTTTTCCCCATTATTGCCAGTCCTGGGGACCTAAGACATAACTGAGTTTCTGCATTTTCAGTCTCAAGCGATAAAACCCAATAAAGTGTGGTGAGGTAAGTTTCGAAAGTTTGATTTTAAACCTAAATGGTCAGTACTTTAGACCATTACAGGTGCATGTGACCGAGTAAACAGAGTATAGAAGCATGTGACCGAGTAGTCAACTATCTTATCTCCGTGCTTTCAAACTATTCTGTTGGAAGCACACTTTAGGAAGTATTTGGGTTTGTCATCGATGCAATTTGCGTTCCTTTGTCCATCAAGTTTGCTGTGGTCGTCTAGAGGGCGGATTTGGAGCGTTTTCATTGTTTGTCAAGCCATTTGGTCTTACTTTTGTTCTGGGAGGAATGGAATGTCATTCTGTTCCTATTGTAGGGAGCATAAGAAAAAAACCAAAGCTGTTTAAACAGCCTCTCTCAAGGTGCTATCTGGTTAGAGGAAAGCAGCTTTAATAGTCCTCCACATGTGAAGAACAAAGAAGCGTGCCAAGAATTACGTTTGCAAATTTTGCGATTAAGAATTTGTCGTCACAGCACATGTATAACCAAGGTTACGTTTGCCATGTCCGCAAGTGTTGCCGCTTGACGAATAACTCAGATATGAACCTAATCTACTGCATTCTCGACAAACCTGCTTGAAAAAAAACGTAACTGGTCAATAGATATCGACCGGAAAAAGGCAGTAAGCTTTCGACTAAAAATATTCATCGATAAAAACTGAAAATTTCATACTCACAATAACAACCGAAAAAAGTATGCCGATTCCAGAAAAATAAAAACTGAAACCGCAGAACCCTAGGCAGCTATTATAAGTTGTATTGATTCGTAATCTCAGGATACTACTTTCATCTTGCTTACATAAAACCACGGTACCTTATGCTTCGTTAGATTAATATAAAAATTTGTATGAATATTTTTATGCCATAAAGAATAGCAACAGACGTAAGGAGCATGCACGTGTTGCACATATTACGTCAAGACAGCTAGTCGTCTCGAAATGTCTTGCATGAATATCTCTGTGCCCTTCACAATATATGGCCTAGATTTACCGTTCAACAATGCTTCTTGTCGTCGTGTGTGCCGTATTGTATGCGACCTCGGCTGCTGATGACGGCGACAGGAATGGCGTCATCAGCCAAGGTTGACAGGAGTAGCCGCTGTCACCAAGCAGCAGGCCGTCGTACTCTCCACTGGCCAGCTTGACTGCCAAGGTGCTCTCCGTGAAGATCCGAGAGTCGTGGGTGCTTCCAGGCCACCTTGCAACCACGTTGCGAATCCGAGAAGAGGCGTCAACGACCACCTGTACGTTGATGGAATGGTATCCATGGCGGTTGACGTACGCCTCCTCGTGCACATGGGGTGCCTGGATCCGGACATGGGTACCGTCAACAGCACCCACGACCAAAGGAAAGCCGGCCATGTCGTAGAACTTGTGCTGCAAGGCTGCCCCCTCCGCAGCGTCAGGCCATCTGCGTCGTTGATCCCCTCAGCAATTAAACCACATATAGTAAACTTACAGCTACAATGCTTATGAATACCTTTTTAATGAGGAATGCTAAGGACTTTGGCTGTGCCCTTCAAGTTTGTGGTAGCAGTAAAGTGCCTCAGTAGCACCTGTTCAATAGTGAAGTTTGCATGTTTTCATAGGATCCCTTTTTATTTTTGTTCAGTTACCAAGACCTATAAAGTGACTGTGATTCGGTGCAAGTCCTTACCAAAAGTGCAAACGGGTCGCTTTCTGAGGTTTCTCAGAAAAATGGCGTGCCCGGGCCCTTTCCAATCGGGCAAGTAGGACGCTTACGGCCGTAATCATTTTTTTTTCTATTGAAAAGGGGGGGGGGGAGGGAGGGCTAGTTACTAGTAGGTAGAATATTACTGCCATAAAAAGGCAACCTACAAAACATCCCTATCACCAGCAATTCAGATATATTTTTAGTGTATTTACTTTACTTCAATACGGCTGGCAAACTACAATTAAAAGGAAAAAAAAAGGACCCTTACCGTATGAAGTCTTGTGCTCGACGAGCCAGCGCTACGGTGACTTGCCTCACAGCCCGTGAAGCACTTGACACATGCACGCGGATGTAGTCGCCTGCAGTGATCAGAAAGTTCCCAGTTGCGTAGAACTGCAAGGCGATGATCACTTGCTGCTCCGCAGAGAGGGCGCGGCTACGACGTGTACGGCGCTCCAAGTCCGGACGCAGTGTGTCGGCGAGAAACATTATGCCCGCTCTTCCAAATCGGAACCGTTGCTGCAGCCCATCCTCGTCGAAATCCTCAAAGGGGTTCAGGCGGTCCCGCAGCACACGCTGTCGCCTCATCATTGCCGCTGCGTACTGCGCGTCCGTGCGGTCTCTTCTGTGTCGGCGATTCCTTGCGTTGGACATTCTGCCCGGTAGCAAAGTCGGAAATCGGTCCGCAAATCTTATCAGTCAGTCCGTGGCCGGTCGGAGGGTTTGTCGGTGGGTCGGTCGGTCGAAGGGCAGAATACAGACAGGAAAACTCAGATGATAACCGAAAACGAGAAACGCGCGTTGCGTGCAACGAGGCGAAACTGGTTGTATAAACAAACGCCGTGCACGCGACACGGCACACACGGCGTTGCCAGACTTGGAAGCGACGGTCGACGCACTTGCTTTTTGCAAAACACGACAACAGAAAACTGCAAAGCACTTTGACTAGGTGTCTTGTCTACGCTTCCACACTTCGAAAGAAAGAATTTCGATGCAAAAAAGAAACTATCCTTTTTCTTTTCAATTGAGCAAACGTTTCTTGCAAGTTACAACTAGATTTAGCCGAAAACGGTTCCCATAAAGCAAACGTTGTATCATAAAAAAATAACGATTTATTTTTTTCAGCACAAGGTGGCGCAGGCTCCAGCCCAATAATAAAGGACGGATTTGTTTTATGTCCAGCCATTAAAGTTTCGTAGTAGGTACAACGTAGGTACAACTAGGTACTTTCGGTACCTACTAGGGACTTTGGCCAACGCTAACCGCGGTTAGCTCTTCGAGCAAACGGGCCCAGAAGGACGCAATTCAGAAGGGTGAGGGTAGGTGGATCATGAGGGATTGGTGGCGTCTTTTGATGACCTCAGCTTCTCTTCGATCGTTGTGATGTGGTGAAGAAGGGCGTCGAAGATGGCGGGCACGTGCTGATGAGTTGTGGGAGAGAGCCACTCTTTCCATGTCGTGGGCCGAAGCCCGGGAGGGAGCTTGGAAAGTGTAGAGCGGATGAATGGTTGTACATGGTGGCATTGCCACTAGGTGGCGTGTTGTAATGGTCGCGTGGGGCCATTACTAATGAGTGGAAAGAGACAGGAAAAGCTAGGATAAAGACAGCGCCCCGAAAGGCCTGTAGAGATGCTGAAAAGGCTTACATTGCCGGCGCGTGGGCAGCGGGGTACCGAGGTGCGGGGCCCAAGGCGGGAACCCCGACGAAAGAAAGAGACGTCACACCAGCTCGGAGTTTTTGTGAAGACTGTTCTATTTTCAATATGTACACATCAATCCCGAGACAGCGCGTGCCGCTGTCAAGCACGTGCACCATCTCGTAGTAGCGACACAAACCATGACTTCTTGCGCCATCTGGCTTGTTGATGGCACACTACATCTTTTCCCCCCTTAGGAGAAAATGACTGTTAGACAATTTGCTACCGACCCAAGAAACAGCTTACTTTTTTTAACCATATATAAATTCACACACACACAAAATCTTACCAACCAATCACTACAAGCAAAAATATTTGTGAAGTGGTCGGAGAAAATAAGGATAAAGAAATACATTGGAAAGATACAATCATTAATGCTACACTTTGCACTATGTCGAGCAAAATCCAGTTAGACCGAAAAGTGCTCTCTTCACTGCAACCAAAATGTCACTGACCAGTGCTTGGGAACAAAGAACAACACTTTCAAAAATATCATGGTTTAACGAGACATTTGAAACAAAGATTAACACTTTCACTTCCACCAGTGGAATGGCTGACTAGTCCTTTGAAGCATAAAGAATAACATTTTCACTTCAAACACTTTGACCGACACCTTGTGGACGCTATAGGGGGCGCCACTGTGTAGAAAACGCGGGGGGCGTTACCCCCCGTGAAAGAACGCATAAGAGCAACAGCGGGGACGCCGACCAGGGAGAGAGAAGCGGGGCCTGGAGCGAAAGGTACACGCTGCGGCGGTGTCGACCAACGACCTTGTTAATACTAACTTCATGTTTACAATTTACTAATAAATGTAGCTTCACGTTTTCCGAAATCCTGGCTCCGTGTTGTTCCGCCGTGTTGGGCACGCAGCAAGGCAACTTTCCCACATGGCGCCCAACGTGGGGCGGCGCACGTCATCGTCCCCGAGCCTTTCAGGGGACGGACACTGGAGGACCGCCACCCCAACGATCCAGCGGCGCAATGCACCGCAGAGGAACGGAGGCTCCTCTGTCCGCTGTGCGGAGTCCCGGAGCTCGCTCGAGAAACACACCGAGCGGGGCTCCTGCACGTGACCCGGGAAGCTGCCGACCGCGCTGCGAGGCTCCAGAACCATGACGAGCTGCAGAGGGCCATCGACGTCGTACGAAGGCAACGTCCTCAACTTCTGAGGTCAAACGACCACGACGAGCACGTCATCGACATGCCTCACTTTTGAGGGGGGGATTGTGTGGACGCTATAGGGGGCGCCACTGTGTAGAAAGCGCGGGGGGCGTTACCCCCCGTGAAAGAACGCATAAGAGCAACAGCGGGGACGCCGACCAGGGAGAGAGAAGCGGGGCCTGGAGCGAAAGGTACACGCTGCGGCGGTGTCGACCAACGACCTTGTTAATACTAACTTCATGTTTACAATTTACTAATAAATGTAGCTTCACGTTTTCCGAAATCTTGGCTCCGTGTTGTTGCGCCGGGTTGGGCACGCAGCAAGGCAACTTTCCCACAACCTCTATGTACATAACATGAAAAATTGATATTTGAACACATGAAAATTGCAAAAATAACCCCTATCTCTTCTCATCTATCCTATAAAAACACATTGCACGCTTCATGAAATTTCAAACCACTATGACTTAAGTCGCAAAGTTTTTAAGGAGCGTCCTTGGAGTACATATCCACTTGAAAGCCACGAAATTTTGCGGGAAGTCGTCTACGCCGCGTGGGGCGTTGTGGAGTGTCCGATGGGGATAGTGGTGGAGTATGATATGTCCTCGGTGGTGTGTCTGCACCACCGTCACCTGATGTAGGAGTCGATTCTTGGGTTGCCTCGGGACTTGATTCCGAGTCTTCTGCTAAACCAGGAGCCACTGAATGCTCGGAAAGTGTGGAAGCATTTGGCCCCACGGAGTGCAGGGACTCCGCTGAGACTTTTGCGGAGCTAGATGACGGCAGCTCGCTGAAATACCAGAGTCCCAGTTGGGATGAACTTGATGCGGTGCTCACTATTGCACCGCTTGAAGGAACGGAAGGTTCAGGACCCTCCTGGGAAGCGAGCCTGGGGGCCTCTTGGAAGACTGCAGCCGGGGCAGCCGGCGGAACTGGTGGCTGGCTGCTGCCTTGATGGACTGGTACAGCAGCGCGGAAGGCCGCCTGGAAACCGGAATCAGGAACGGCACCGGGGACTGGGGTGGTGGGAAGGCCACCGAAAACCACCGCATCTTGCGCGGTACAGGGTACAACGGAACTGGTGCCGGGTACGCCAGGAACAGGAAGGGCACCGGGTACTACCGGTACATGGGCAGCACCAGGGACCACAGCTACATGGGCTGCAGGAGCCGTATGATGAAGAACGACGCCTGGCACAGCAGGATCATGGGCGGCGCCAGGGGTCGCATGACTATGGGCACCAGGCGCCACAGCAATATGGCCAGGGCCGGGTGCCGCAGTAGCATGGGCGGCCGCAGGGGCCGCAGTGGCATGGACGACCTCTTGGGCCGTCGGGACAGGACCGGCATCAGGGGCCGCAAAAACAGGACCGGCCGCAGGGACAGGAATGACAGCAGGGGCCGCATGGACAGGAACGGCAGCAGGGGCCGCAAAAACAGGAACGGCAGCAGGGGCCGCACGGGCAGGAGTGACGCCGGGGGCCGCAGCACGCAAAGTTGCAGGTGCCGGACCCTCAGGTGGCACATGGCCCAGGCTTATAGCTGGAGCCGCATTAGTTGAAGTGGGGAATATGTCATCGTCCATAAGCCACAACGGCTGACGTTGGGGTGGTTTCAATGTTGTACGTGTCATTTTGTCTGCATTTCATATGGTTCCATCATCTAATCTATATGTGGCTGGCCCTACTTCTTCATATATATGTTGCGGTGGAGCATATTTGTTGCGCATTTTCCCTCTAATGTGGGGTTTGAAAACCTTTACTGATTGCCCAGGAGCAAAAGCAGGGTACGTGACTGCTCGCCTGGCATCGGAATACTTTTTCATCTTCGTTTCGTATTCCTTGACTCTATCAGGAAGCTTTTCCTGGACAACATGTGAAGGGACAGCGGACTCTGGGGTCCCTCGCCTTTGAAGATGCAGTCGCGTCCGGTGGGTGCGACCGTGTAGAAGAAAAGCTGGCGTTTCTCCAGTCGTGGCATGGCGCGTACTCCAGTATACCCCGAGATATTCTGTAATGGCTTCGGAAAGCGGACGATGTTGGACGAGTGCCAACTGAATAACAGACTTAAGGACTCTATGGAATCTCTCTACCTGACCATTAGCTTGGGGATGGTAAAGCGATGACTTCGCATGTTTGATGCGATGCGTCTTGAAGGACTCGCTGAATTCCTTCGAAATGAATTGAGGGCCGTTATCTCTCGTGATCTCCTGCGGCGGACCTTCGCGGGCAAAGATGGACTTCAAGAACTTAATGACTGTAGGAGTCGTGACGTTGTGGGCTGGTGCCACTTCAGGCCACTTACTGTGGTAATCTACCAGTGTAATGAAAAACCCATCTTGAGCCGGGGCTCGTTCAAAGGGACCTACTATATCCATGCCCAGCTTTACCCATGGACGGGTGGGGAATTCGACTGGTTGAAGAGGTGCTGGAGATGCCTTTGCAGGCTTGTCTGTCGACTGACATACCGAACAGTTCTGAACTTTCGTCCTGACATGTTGACTTAAATGCGGCCACCGGTAAAGCTCCTTGATGATACTGGTGGTGCGCGAGATACCTTGATGGGTTTCATGAGCTACATCAATAACTTGATCACGGAGAGTGGTCGGAACCACTATTTTCTCTCCTTGGAACAACAATGCATCGGTGACTGAGAGCTGGTCTCTTACAACGAAATACGGCTTGAATTCTGGAGGCAACTTGTCCTCGGAGGGCCATGTGTTTGAAAAATATGCCATAATAACTGGTAGTACAGGATCTTTTAGAGTTTCCTCCTTCAACTCCTTCTGTGTAAGACATGCACAGACAATTGAAACTACCTCTTCTTCAAAAGACGTACCTTCTTCGGTGTCTGGGACCGGAAGGCGAGACAGAGCGTCGGCAACTACGTTATCGCTGCCTTTACGATACTTCATTGTAAAATTATAGTTGAAAAGTCTAGCAGTCCAGCGACTGATGCTTCGTGGACGAGCACCTGTCCCTTGAGTGGACATTAGTGTGAGGAGGGCTTGATGATCTGTCTGAATTTCAAAATGTCGACCCCAAGATAAACGTGCCATTTCTCCCAAGCCCAGAGGATTGCGAGATCTTCTTTCTCTCCTGCTGAATACTTCCGCTCTGCTTTGGAGAGAGAGCGGGAAGCGAAAGCAACAGTCTTTAGTTGCTTCCCATGCTGCTGCTGGAGAACAGCACCTAGTCCGTAATTGGACACGTCTGTGGAGACGACAACTGGAAGATTTGGATCGAACATTGCAAGAATGGGAGCCTGCTGAAGGCAGGACTTGACAATTTGGAAACTGACCTCTACATCGGACGACCAGACAAAAGATGCTCCCTTGCGCAGAAGCCTTCGGAGGGGTTCTACAAGAGTAGCACAATGGGGGACAAACTTACCGTAATATTCTACTAGACCTAGGAAGGCCTT